ATACCGGCTAAATAATTAAGTATGTCATACGTTACTACATCTTTTCCCGGAGCCGTGGAGCTGCCACTTTTTATAGCATCCAGTAGCTCATCGTGGGTTTTCTCAGTGCATGTTATAGATCTTGTATTTAAGGCACATAAAGTTACTCCATTTCTAATATTTTCCCATGGCTCAATGGTGACTCTCGTGTCTGCAGGTAAGGACTCCATACCCGCAGCACTAGCCCATTTATCTACTAACTCATTAGCAACTTTCCCTGGATCTGAGTGAGCAATGAATTTGGTCTTACAACCCCTGATTTTGTTTACTGCTCTCCATATGTCTTTAAGGTTCTTAGTATTACCAATGGACTGAGCAAATTCTTGCCAGTATCTGTCCCGCGCCTCCTTCCTCACCTGACTGCATTCCCTAGCCACTTCCAACATTGTATTTTTCTCTTCATCCCTCATTCCATTTTTTAACCATGCTTTATGCGCACTCCGTAACATTCTCTCCCATCCCTTGACTTGCTGATCATTCGAATATTTAAATTTCTTAGGTCCGTGCGTCTTGCTTCCCCTGCCCCCGTTATTTTCCCTCTGTACTAATTTCTCTATGTTCTCGACCATGTCCTCGTAAAAGCTATCAATGCAGAGCGGCGTGTAATGTTGATACCAATCTCCCATATTTTGAATAAAATAGTTTTTCATATCTTTATTAATATTTAGCCTTTTCCTTTGAAAGTGGACTTGTTTTTTCCCCAGTGGTAATTCAACGTTCAAGGCAAAGTGGTCACTAAGTAGTTCCCGAACAACCCGAGCCTCCCCCATAATCCCCTGAGAGTTTAAAACGCAGGCATAGTCAAGCCGTCCTCCCCTGATGTGAGTTGGTTCATTGTTTCCCAAGAGACAGGTATCTGGATGATCTTGTAGAAACTGTAACCACTTGACCCCATTAGCATTAATACTACCCACTGTCCCAAGGCTTGTGTGCCGAGCATTAAGGTCCCCAATGACCAGTGAAGGATTAGTATAAATGCAGTCAGTTAAATAGTTAGCGTCGAAGCAGTTCCTGGATACATACAAATTAACTACAATAAATTCCCCTTCCCTTAATGATAATTTAACACAGACACTCTCTATACCTTGCGTTTTTGATGGCGGTTCTACTAACTCTGCTGGTATGGAGTTCTTAACATAAATCGACGTGCCTCTGATGTTATTTGCAGCGAAGAGGTGAAACCCTTTATAGCCATTTAATTTCAATAATCCTTCATTCCTATCCCCTGTCTCTTGGAGAGCTACAACATCAATATCATTTCCCATCACATAACAATGAACATCTGTAACCCTGTTTCTCAAACCATTAACATTCCATGACAACACTTTCAGTCTAGGGTGATCCATTATTAATCAATTCATTGCCTAAGTCATCCCCAATAAGTTCACTAAATGATAGCCATACCTTGTATAACATCTCCCACCTCCTCCCAAGTTCACCAGTAAAAGCGACATTGCGATTCTCAAGAGATTTTTTCAGCCCTGAGACGTCCATTATTGGCCCAAATGATTCTTTCATTTTATGTGTAATTATAGGGTTCTTCCTTTCCCTACGACTATCATCATTCACACACACTTCACTTTCCTTCATTTCATCACTCAATATTTCATTTTTGTCCTCAACCACTATATCCTGACTATCCTTCACCGTTTTGTGATTTTCCTTGACCTGAACGTTTAATTTAGCCTCGATGGACTCGATTCTCTGCCCCAGATTTTGGAGGAACTCACCAACTTTTTTAAGTTCAGCCCACACTTCCTTGACCATATTATTATGACCCTCTTTCTGAGCCACAGTAACCACTTCACTCACCGTTACACTGTCACTGCCGGAGTCCTGAGTGGTGGCGTGGCTGCTTGTTGCTGGAGCCTGCCTAAGTAAAGGTGACTCCTTTACCCACGCATTCGTCCGGTTCACTGGCACTGTTTGGGGCAGACTGTTTTGCTGTGCTCCCGGTGTCTGGGTAAGAGCTCTTGCTTGCTCTGTAACATTCACCGGCCGGAGAACAGCCATACTCGGCCTCTTGCTACACACAGCCGAGCTCGCATTGTGAACACCTCCACAGTTGCAGCATCTGGGAACTATTTTCTCACCCAGATTCAGTCTGTTTCTACACACAGTAGAGAGGTGAGACTTTCCGCAGAAACGACATCGTGGATCATTTTGACAGCTCCAGGATAAGTTACATAAGGGCGGCTGTTTTCATTTTATAATATAAAATTATATTTTGGTGGGTGGAGTTATCTAACAATGCCAAAATATTGATTAAGATATTGTTCCTCGGCATAAGTTTTACTACGTGTATGGCAGGATCAGCGTCACTTCAGTGGAGTAAGGACATTTCCGCTGAGCAATCTACAGTGAAAATATTAACCAAACACTACGAGTGTCTTTGACTAATGAATGTTTCCTGAATTATCCAGATTTGCTTGGTTCAACATAGTTTCTTTATGCTTTAGTATTAAACATCTTTTTTTGGAAAGCACCTTCGCACATTTGACACACTGATGCATATGAAATCAATTATAAATGATGCAAGTGAATTTGAACATAATATATTTATTATTGTTGGTTGGGTGGCGTCGTTGATCCTTTTTTATGGACAACCCAACCCAAACTTGGTAGAGTGCTCTTGGAGAGGGGCCCAATGTCACACGTTTAGGGGATGCGGCTCCAACACTTAGCCTCGTTTTCACGTGTACACACCCACTCGAGCCGCTGTGACTCCCCACTCTCTCCTTATGTGATATGATCTCCTCAATCCCTTTGACTTATTAGTTTTCCGTTCTACCCTTTCCACAGCTGTGGTTCTTGGTTCTTTCTCTTTTTCTCCTCCTTTCATACTTCCTGGGAAGCCTCATTAGGACAAGGGCAAACACCAGCAAATTTGAATACATTTACCGGACAAAGCACATACACAATACATACACACATATAATAATAATGAATCCTACACTCTATACTATTTCAGCCAGGTTGCACTCCAACACCATCAGAACTCTATCATCTGCTTATCAAGTGGTATCCTATCTCCTGATTCACCACCTAATACTACCAATCTCCTCAAGTAGGTCAAGTCTTATAACACAATGTTGCACTATCAGCAAGAGAATACAAATATAAACACATACAAGGAAAACCAGCGTATGACTGCAATAACATAAATATTAGTATAAATGTTCCTTGATATACAACAATGATCAATCGATCACCCTATTAATCCTAGAACACATATGTATGTCTCTGCAGGTAATCCAGCCTACGACTGTAACTCTATACTTCAGTATAAGTACTCCTTGGCACAAAAATGGCAAACAATCACTTACCTTTCACTGCGTCTTGCACGCTAATGACAACCAAACACACTACCAACTCCCTACAAGTAATCAACTAGAACGTCCCCTCCACATCTGGAAGCTCGCTACCCTGACATCTTCAGGTTCTTCCGGGTTTATCTACCAGGATTCTCCGCAGCTCTTCCAGGCTGCTACACCATGAAGTCTACCTTGATCAACAATGGTGCTTCACCACTGGTATCACAAAAACTTGTGAAACTTCATTCCATTACTCCTCTTCTCACAGCTTGAGGTTCTCTTCCTCACTGTATGGCTGCTCTCCCACAGAGCTCAGTACTTTCCACTACCTTGGAGTCTCATCAACTACTCCCTCTGTGCTGGCTTCGAAGTTCTCAGCAACTTCTTCCAAAGACAAACCTGCACCCCATTGACACGCCAATAAAAATGTTTCCTTATAAACACATAGACGAAAGAATCCACACAATATGTTTGCATCCAACATCTATCTGCTCTCTACATGCTGTGAGAGTGGACTCCCCCGTTTAGGCTGGTCCCATGCTCCGCCTGGCCAGGCGGCCCTCGAGGCAGCTACCCCGCCAACAGCTGGGCTCCCTCAGTCATCTGCCAGAGCTCAGAGGATACGGATGTCGCTCCATCCTCCAGGATGTTCCTCCATCTCCACTCTCTTATCTTAGGCTTCCTGCCTTACAAAAACATGTCTAACTTATCAATAAATATTCGCTACTATCGCTGGGTACACGACCAACTACAAGTAATCACTATAAACTGGTTTAAAATCGTGCTTACCACAGATTGTCTAGTCGAGGGTGCTATTCCTCTGACAGTCTGATCAGGGCGCTCCCACGGCCCACGATAATGTCTCTGGGCGGCTTAACAAACTCTCCTTGCCGTCCAGGACTTGAGACCACAACGTTCCTAGCTCGATTCCACTGCTGGAACATCTGCACACTTCCTTTCTCTTGAAGGTATATCCAACAGGGGATTCTCTCCAATGGGAGCTCAAACGGAGCGCAGCTTCCCCTCACGATGTCTAGTACTCAAGTGGAGTCAGAGCCCTCCCGAAACGAGCCTCACGCCTCCAGCAAATTATCCACATCTCATAACCAGTCATTTATCTATTTTCTTATTCACTGCCCACGTTCTTAAACTCTCTGTAAAATTTACCCCATTATTTTTACACATGAATCTTCATGTCTGTATATCTCCGACCTCCTAGTCAGGTCAGGCCTGATAGAATAATTCTCAAAGGGAAGACTCGTTTTTCGGCTGCCTGGGATCATAATAATTATAAACTGTAACGTAGCTCTTTCTTTTCAGCCTCAATTTCATCTACAGTATGTAACATACGCTACAACAAACTACGTGTTTTATGTAACATTAGTTTCATTAACATGAATTACAGCATAATTTTATTAGGCACGAAAAGGTGTAGAGGACATTCATCTCTTTTAGTTGGTTCCCTTTGGTCTCCTGAGAGTTCTTCTTAAGCAGGTTGGCGGTACTTAATGAAGAATATCTTACAGTTAGTGTAGTTAAAATAAATGTTTTCTACGATTATATGCGTAGAGGACTTGTACGCATATAACTATGCGTACAAGTCTTCTAGGTTAGTGGAAACTATAAATCTTTTATTATTTCCAACAGGTACACCTATATCAGGGAGCATGATGGCAATTTTGGCACCATGTTGAACAGGGTCGTCTGGAAGGTAAGGACTTGTGAACACTAAGAAGATACTGCTAGTTCTGGAAAGTAGAGAACAGGGAACAGGATGATAAACATATGTAAAACAGGATGATATATATTATAAACATATGTATGGGTCAGATGATATGTATTATAAATATACGTATGCACAGAATGATATGTATGATAAACATATGTATGTTTATCATACATATACTGACTGATCCAGCAGAATTAATAGGTTAAAACAGTTTAATTGATATACACATTGTTTGAGAAAGCGCGACCCTGCAAGGTGTACTACTGAACTAAGAACTAAGAACGTGACAAAATGTGGCAATTGGCAACACCACACTGCACTCGGCAAACAGTCTATTTATTCAATTATTTATTAGTTTATTTTTTATATACAAGAAGGTGCATATAGTTTGTGAGAGTACATGACATTTTTGTTCTTTCATTCTTGCACAGCCACTAACATCATAGAATTTCCTGCAGATCTATTAGGTGATCTGTTATTAGATGTATTATTTAACAATAATGCTAGTCGAACTGCAAAACCTGAACCAGAGGAGACATCCACGGCAACAGTACAGTGCTTTAGCATACAAAGTGATGTAATTACTTTGATGGCAAAATCTGCTGCAGCAGCTGCTTTGCCAACTACAACACTACTAACATAATAAAGGCCCGCAGATCAATACTCAAGGGTTGTTTGATTAGGGATCCCAGAGAACTTTTATCACAAGGAAACTTGCAAAGGATCTGCATCTTGAGACTGTACAAACAGTCACCCTAAATTTTTTTTGACCAACACAAGTTACCAAGAATACAAAGTGGTAATACTCTTAGTTCACGTAGGGAAATATAAGGCCAGTGTATGCAAATGTTATGGAAGCAATGCCGACAGACCTACAAGTGACTGTTCTTGGAGCCACAGTGAGATTCCTTATACAAAAGTGGATTATCTTAACAGATTCCCCAGATACATTCCGACTACATAACATATATCGGCATCTTTATGGGCGCTGACTAGTACCATAAATTTATCTTGGGGAAACATAAAACATCAGTAACGTACTTGATAGAGTATGCAGGAGGAAAGTTATTGTCTAGTTCGGTACTATGCTTAAAGACAACAACTCCTGTGGAGCAGGAATATTCCGAAACTATCATTGTAGCATAACTAGGCCAAGAGCAATCACTTCTAGGAATCAGTAAAATGATTGATGACGAACTGGAGTCAGTCCATAAACTGCGGGATCCAGATACAATAAGAAATCTTCCTGAACCTCTTAGTAAGAGGAAGGATGGCTTAAGTACCTTCTAAAGGTTTAAATTTGGTACAAGGGGCTTCGATGGTTAGTTGATGGTAGTTGGCCAGAACAAAGCCACAGGTCATTGTGACGCAGTCTGTACTGTACCGGCTTCTCTTCACTAATGAGGCTGATAAATACAATATATAGATATATAAGATGGACGTCTAATAAGGCGTTTATCTGTTTATTTACCTGCGTGATAACTAGGACAGTTCACTTAGAAGTAACACCTGATATGACTGCTCAAGTTATCCTGAAGTCTGTAATGCACTTGGGGAAAAACAGTTCGAAGGAAATAAATTAATTCCTCCTAGATCTCCAGGGTATAATGACTAGATGTCAGAAAAATTCAACATTGCCAAAAGATAGGCCTCACGAAGCTCCAAACAGCAGTCTCAGAAATCGAGTCGAGAATAAAGAAATAGCCATTGACAATAATTCTACCCATTTAATGTACGGTGGACCACTGACTCCAGCACCAGTCTTACTAAATGATTGTGTAAGAGATCCCTCATACCATACCATACTGTTTGTGCTGTTATAGCACTATATACACACTATATAGATCCCATGTGGTCTAGTTGCTAGGATACCTGGCTTTCACCCGGGAGGCCCGGGTTCGATTCCCGGCATGGGAAGTAGTAAAGGGCTGGTGGCTGAGTGGACAGCACGCTGGGAGCGTGATCTAGTGGTCCAGGGTTCGATTCGGGCGCCGGCTAGAAACAATGGGCAGAGAACTCCATGCTGTTCAATGGGCACTGTAAACATTTTGAACAGCATGGAGTTCACTGATATCTGAACTTTGTACACTGTCTTTATCACAGCCAGGCTCTTCTGTAATACTATCATAGCTAACTAATACCAGTTACATATATAATTTTACATTTTTGGGCGATGCTGTGATCACAAGCCGAACAGCAGTGCTGTTAGCTCATACTTTGTGCGCCTGCCGTGGTTGCTCACTCAGTACTGAGGCCCTCACTCCCGGGAATGTATTCTACGATTTTTTTAAGGCTTTTTTTTTGAGCCCTGAAGAGGCTGATGTGAATCCCATGTAGCCGTGGGACTTTTATAAATCTTACGCAGTACTTTAAAATGTATATATATACGATGTGCGATGTTCAGCCAGTTAGACCAAAATTGTATATATATACAATTCGTCTAGGGATTTTTTTTTTCTTGATGTCGAATATTTATACTATCTATTATCTTAACTTTTTTTCTCGTGTTCATTCATAAAACTTTACACATCTTCGTAGGAGGCAGATATCGCGCTTGGTCCCTTCGTTGTAAGTTACAGTCGACTTGAAGTTGTCGACTTCTCGTGGCCACTACATGTAGGAGTGTCAAAAATCCTGGGCGGCCGAGGCCGGCCGGTGAAGGACCCGTGGAGCTTCCTGTTTCCCCTGACGCCCCTTGTGTGGGTGGCGACCCTGTCGTCGGTGCTGGTGCTGCCTCTGACGGTGCTCCTCTTGAGCTCCTGCTTCTCCCTTAAGATGGCTGACGCAGGTGTTTCATTGTCAAAAATATTCACTTACATTCGCGTATTATTGCAACAGGGTAGGTAACCTCTGGCGTTGTCTCCATCATATTGTATATGCATATATATATATATATATATATATATATATATATATATATATATATATATAATATATATATATATATATATATATATATATATATATAAACTGAAAACTCACACCCCAAAAGTGACTCGAACCCATACTGCCAGGAGCAACGCAACTGGTATGTACAGGACGCCTTAATCCGCTTGACCATCACGACTGGACTGGATGGTCAAGCGGATTAAGGCGTCCTGTACATACCAGTTTCATTGCTCCTGGCAGTATCGGTTCGAGTCACTTCTGGGGTGTGAGTTTTCAGTTGCATATAGTCCTGGGGACCATTAAGGCTTGTTCGCATATATATATACCCAAGCTACCCATTTCATTATGTATGAGGTCATTTTTTTTTATTGGAGTTAAAATTAATGTAGATATATGACCGAACCTAACCAACCCTACCTAACCTAACCTAACCTATCTTTATAGGTAAGGGTAGGTTAGGTAGCTGAAAAAGTTAGGTTAGGTTAGGTTAGGTAGGTTAGGTAGTCGAAAAACAATTAATTCATGAAAACTTGGCCTATTAGGCAAATCGGGCCTTGCATAGTAGGCCGAGTATTGTGTTCTGGCTACTAGGTACAACATATATATATATATATATATATATATATATATATATATATATATATATATATATATATATATATATATATATATATATATATCTGTAACACTTTACTGTTAAATTCAGAAAAAAGTTATATAATATATATATATATATATATAATATATATATATATATATATATTATATATATATATATATATCTATATTATATATATATATCTGGTTATAAGATTATAAGCCAGTATTCGAGAACACCATTGTTGTCTCCTTGAATTATTTATTGATTTTTCCCAATGTTATTAGCCTTCACTCTAATTAGAGAAGGCACTCTTTTTCTGAGCATATATATATATATATATATATATATATATATATATATATATATATATATATATATATATATATATATATATATATATATATATATATATATATATATATATATGTCGTACCTAGTAGCCAGAACTCACTTCTCAGCCTACTATGCAAGGCCAAATTTGCCTAGTAAGCCAAGTTTTCATGAATTAATTGTTTTTCGACTACCTAACCTACCTAACCTAACCTAACCTAACTTTGTCGGCTACCTAACCAAACCTAACCTATAAAGATAGGTTAGGTTAGGTTAGGTAGGGTTGGTTAGGTTCGGTCATATATCTACGTTAATTTTAACTCCAATAAAAAAAAATTGACCTCATACATAATGAAATGGGTAGCTTTATCATTTCATAAGAAAAAAATTAGAAAAAATATATTAATTCAGGAAAACTTGGCTTATTAGGCAAATCGGGCCTTGAATAGTAGGCCAAAAAGTGAGTTCTGGCTACTAGGTACGACATATATATATATATATATATATATATATATATATATATATATATATATATATATATATATATATATATGTCGTACCTAGTAGCCAGAACGCTCTTCTCAGCCTACTATGCAAGGCCCGATTTGCCTAATAAGCCAAGTTTTCATGAATTAATTGTTTTTCGACTACCTAACCTACCTAACCTAACCTAACCTAACTTTTTCGGCTACCTAACCTAACCTAACCTATGAAGATAGGTTAGGTTAGGTTGGGTAGGGTTGGCTAGGTTCGGTCATATATCTACGTTAATTTTAACTCCAATAAAAAAATTGACCTCATACATAATGAAATGGATAGCTTTATCATTTCATAAGAAAAAAATTAGAGAAAATATATTAATTCAGGAAAACTTCGCCTATTAGGCAAATTGGGCCTTGCATAATATGCCCAGAAGTGCGTTCTGGCTACTAGGTACGACATATATATATATATATATATATATATATATATATATGTCGTACCTAGTAGCCAGAACTCACTTTTTGGCCTTCTATTCAAGGCCCGATTTGCCTAATAAGCCAAGTTTTCATGAATTAATTGTTTTTCGACTACCTAACCTACCTAACCTAACCTAACCTAACTTTTTCGGCTACCTAACCAAACCAAACCTATAAAGATAGGTTAGGTTAGGTTAGGTAGGGTTGGTTAGGTTCGGTCATATATCTACGTTAATTTTAACTCCAATAAAAAAAAATTGATCTCATACATAATGAAATGGGTAGCTTTATCATTTCATAAGAAAAAAATTAGAAAAAATATATTAATTCAGGAAAACTTGGCTTATTAGGCAAATCGGGCCTTGAATAGTAGGCCAAAAAGTGAGTTCTGGCTACTAGGTACGATATATATATATATAATATATATATATATATATATATATATATATATATATATGTCGTACCTAACAGCCAGAACGCACTTCTCAGCCTACTATTCAAGGCCCGATTTGCCTAATAAGCCAAGTTTTCATGAATTAATGTTTTTTCGTCTACCTAACCTACCTAACCTAACCTAACCTAGCTTTTTTTGGCTACCTAACCTAACCTTACCTATAAATATAGGTTAGGTTAGGTTAGGTAGGGTTGGTTAGGTTCGGTCATATATCTACGTTAATTTTAACTCCAATAAAAAAAATTGACCTCATACATAGAGAAAAGGGTTGCTTTATCATTTCATAAGAAAAAAAATATAGTAAATATATTAATTCAGGAAAACTTGGCTTATTAGGCAAATCGGGCCTTGAATAGTAGGCTGAGAAGTGAGTTCTGGCTACTAGGTACGACATATATATATATATATATATATATATATATATATATGTCGTACCTAGTAGCCAGAACGCACTTCTCGGCCTACTATACAAGGCCCGATTTGCCTAATAAGCCAAGTTTTCCTGAATTAACATATTTTCTCTAATTTTTTTCTTATGAAATGATAAAGCTACCCATTTCATTATGTATGAGGTCAATTTTTTTTATTTGAGTTAAAATTAACGTAGATATATGACCGAACCTAACCAACCCTACCTAACCTAACCTAACCTATCTTTATAGGTTAGGTTAGGTTAGGCAGCCTAAAAAGTTAGGTTAGGTTAGGTTAGGTAGGTTAGGTAGTCGAAAAACAATTAATTCATGAAAACTTGGCTTATTAGGCAAATCGGGCCTTGCATAGTAGTCCGAGAAGTGCGTTCTGGCTACTAGGTACGACATATATATATATATATATATATATATGTCGTACCTAGTCGCCAGAACGCAATTCTCAGCCTACTATGCACGGGCCGATTTGCCTAATGAGCCAAGTTTTCCTGAATTAATTGTTTTTCGACTACCTAACCTCCCTAACCTAACCTAACCTACCTTTTTCGGCTACCTAACCTAACCTAACCTATAAAGATAGGTTAGGTTAGGTTAGGTAGGGTTGGTTAGGTTCGGTCATATATCTACGTTAATTTTAACTCCAATAAAATAAAATGACCTCATACATAATGAAATGGGTAGCTTTATCATTTCATAAGAAAAAAATTAGAGAAAATATATTAATTCGGGAAAACTTGGATTATTAGGCAAATCTGGCCTTGCATAGTAGGCCGAGAAGTGCGTTCTGGCTACTAGGTACGACATACTGTATATATATATATATATATATATATATATATATATATGTCGTACCTAGTAGCCAGAACGCACTTCTCAGCCTACTATGCAATGCCCGATTTGCCTAATAAGCCAAGTTTTCATGAATTATTTGTTTTTCGACTACCTAACCTACCTAACCTAACCTAACCTAACTTTTTCGGCTACCTAACCAAACCTAACCTATAAAGATAAGTTAGGTTAGGTTAGGTAGGGTTGGTTAGGTTCGGTCATATATCTACGTTAATTTTAACTCCAATAAAAAAAAAAAATTGACCTCATACATAATGAAATGGGTAGCTTTATCATTTCATAGGAAAAAAATTAGAAAAAATATATTAATTCAGGAAAACTTGGCTTATTAGGCAAATCGGGCCTTGAATAGTAGGCCAAAAAGTGAGTTCTGGCTACTAGGTACGACATATATATATATATATATATATACATATATATATATATATATATATATATATATATATATATATATATATATATATATATATATATATATATATATATATATATATATATATATATATGTCGTACCTAATAGCCAGAACGCACTTCTCAGCCTACTATTCAAGGCCCGATTTGCCTAATAAGCCAAGTTTTCATGAATTAATGTTTTTTCGTATACCTAACCTACCTAACCTAACCTAACCTAGCTTTTTTTGGCTACCTAACCTAACCTTACCAATATATATAGGTTAGGTTAGGTTAGGTAGGGTTGGTTAGGTTCGGTCATTTATCTATGTTAATTTTAACTCCAATAAAAAAAATTGACCTCATACATAGAGAAAAGGGTTGCTTTATCATTTCATAAGAAAAAAATTATAGTAAATATATTAATTCAGGAAAACTTGGCTTATTAGGCAAATCGGGCCTTGAATAGTAGGCTGAGAAGTGAGTTCTGGCTACTAGGTACGACATATATATATATATATATATATACATATTATATATATATATATATATATATATATATATATATATATATATATATATATATATATATATATATATATATATGTTGTACCTAGTAGCCAGAATGCAGTTATTGGCCTACTTTGCAAGGCCCGATTTGCCTAATAAGCCAAGTTTTCCTGAATTGATATATGTTTCAGTTTTTTTTCTTATGAAATGATAAAGCTATCCATTTCATTATGAATGAGTTAACTTGTTTAAATTTGAGTTAAAACTAATGTATATATGACCGAACCTAACCAACCCTACCTAACCTAACCTAGCCTATCTTAACCTAACGTAAACTAACACAGCTAAGTCAATAATTTAAGTTAGATGTGAGATTTTTTTCTTTGACAATTATCAAAGAAATTAATTCCTCTTGATGTTACGTTAATCGCAACTACCTCGCAAGAGAGGCAGACCTTAAACAGCAAGAGCTGCCAGTGGCAGATATTTAATCTTAAAGTCTAAGATCATAGGACCGCGGGAGCAAACCAGGCGAAACCACACGGGTAACACCTGTCACTTAGGTCGCTGGCTCCTCCTAGTTAACAACTAATAAAGGGTAGCCGACAGATTCTCACCTCTTATTTATAGAAGTGTGGTGCTGTGCAATGGACTCGAGCTTTAGATACAGACATGATATGAACATAAGCAGGCAAAGCGTTGCAGAACATGAAATGTGGGGCAGTAATATTTGAAGGTTTGACGTAAACGACCGTTTTCTATAATATAACAATTTAATCACAAAAAACTAGAACTACTACAACAAAGAGTTTACGTTACTTTACTGTCACTCCAGTGGCACATTCAAGAACAGCTATTCAACAGCCTGATGGACCCACGGTCTCCTTATCCTGTCGTCGTCGCTGACTGACTAATGACACTAACTGAACACAGTGGTGCCCACTGGTGACGCAAGCTTGCAATCAATATTGTCACGGCTTCACCGTGAACAAATATTATAATCCCCAAAACTTGACTGGCGCTCGCTGCTCTCAACGAGGTGCCAAGTAACAAGGCGGTTAATCCAAGAATGATAACTCCTCATAAAAATCTTACGTTAACACTTGTCTCTCAGGACAATCAACAACAAAAGTTACACTAATTGAATTTAAACAATTACGTTAACACACACGTTTCTCAACGACCCTTAAATGGCAGCAATAACTCGTAAATCAAATAATTACATCAACTTCAAAGTCAAACATTCGGTGAGTAATTCCCAATTAATTACTGAAAACAACAGCCTATTAATTCAGACGAGTATTGTTAAAGCCTTCTGTCTCTCAACTGACAGTTCATTTCCTGTCTTACGACAAGATCACCTTAACGAGGGTACACTACTGTACCACACAAGGTTACAACACAGTCCATGTAAACAACAAAATCAACACCTTGTGAATTCACTAAGTGGCGGGTATTAATTCTCCTTAAATAGCTACGAGTGCTAAATCCATCTGTCCGCAGACAGATCTGATCAGTCCAACGAATTACAGCAGCTTAATTTCAGCGCAATTGACTCCGATCATAACAGACCGTCAACCCCTTACGTTAATCAAACAATTAACTACAGCTCGTTAAATCGTTAACACTACGTTAGTCTTCTCTTGACAATTCCTCCACTACGTGAACTTCACTGTGACTGTTGCCGTTACACGACTCTACGTTAATCACAACGATGTTCAACAAAACAACAATGACCTCGTTAAGTAAATCATGACCCCGGGTGACGTTAAATGACTTTAATTCTTACGGAATCCTTCACAGTACACAACGCATTTCACCAAGGACACAACTTGTCTGCAGTTTACACACGGTACAACACAGTACATCACAGTACATCACAGTACATCCCTGTCACTCACGGCAAAACTTGTAATTGACTTCCCAAGTAAATTATCCACCAATAATTCACAACTTTACCACAACACAACAGTAAAATAAGCGCTGGCCAATATAATAAAGAATATCAATAACCAAGGGAAACCTCGCTGTTACCACTTTCACTGCTGAAAAAGAAGGGAATCAAATTACAGCGAATTATATACACGGCACATAGAGAAAATGGAAACAATAAAAGAATCAGTTTACTCCACCACTGAATGTGTCTCTAGGGAGCCGGTCGGCCGAGCGGACAGCACGCTGGACTTGTGATCCTGTGGTCCTGGGTTCGATCCCAGGCGCCGGCGAGAAACAATGGGCAGAGTTTCTTTCACCCTGTGCCCCTGTTACCTAGCAGTAAAATAGGTACCTGGGTGTTAGTCAGCTGTCACGGGCTGCTTCCTGGGGGTGGAGGCCTGGTCGAGGACCGGGCCGCGGGGACACTAAAGCCCCGAAATCATCTCAAGATAACCTCAAGAAGGTGTCCTCACACACGTCAACCTCACAGTTGGGCTCCACCTCAACTTGATTTTTGTTTTTTTTGCAGGGATATTCCTGCGTGGGCCCTAAGCCTCTGGCTGGCCCACTAAGTGTTGCTTGTTTCTGTTTTACTTGCGCGGAGTATGAGTATGACTCGTAAGGTCGCTTCAGTAAGATTTTGCCACATGTGTTTAACAACTTCTGCTCTGTTGAATCTAAGTTGAAATCTTAATGGGTTTGTAACTGTGCACTGTGTTAGATAATGTTCCAGTGGTCTGTCGGGCATTTCTCCACAGTGCTGACATTCTCAACTTGATGACGTCAAACAGGGTAAACTCACACGTCTCCAATTCCCATTCACCTCCCCAGGTGGTCCCAGGGACAGAGGACAGACGGAACACTGGGGGCGAACCCAGCTTCAGAGTTTTATTACCCAAAACGGAAACAGTGTACTTACATCAATCTCGCGGGCGCGCCATACACACACACACATACACGACAACCTCACTCCCACTGCTGCTGCTGCTGCTGCTGCTGCTGGGTGATGACGTAGGCGTCCTCAATTCGTACACGTGGTCGGTTGGAACACGGGGTCCTAGACCACGGAATAGCACCATACACACAGACCAGTTGGCGCGGACACGCCAGCTTAAGGCAGCCAAGAATGCGCCCAAAAGAGATCACACACACACACACACACAGCTGTAATGCAGTACCACGCCCATCCACTTGACACGGTACCCTAGGATACGACGGTACACAGTGTAACACGGCACGACGGTACACGAGACAGAGTCCTTCACTGTTCACTGCCAATTCCTCGAAATTATAAATTTAAGTATTCTCTCATAACACTGAAACCTTATCTAGCTCGTCTCACTGCAGTACTTTCAAGCTAAGATACGAAAGACGGCGGATGTCACTAACACACGATGATAACAGCTTCTCTCAGTCCAGTTGCTCTGACATAGCGTCTCACGATCACGCGGCTTAGATGACAAAGTTCACACTGCTAAATCCTTGAATACACCTTCCCTCGACGCCAGATTCTTACGGACGGCACCTGGAAAGATAGCAAGACGATGAGCGTGACTTTAGTAATGTTGCAGGTGGTATTTCCCGGTGCTTGGCCTTAGCACGACAAAGTACGTCCTTCTCTAGCAACGTTCTTGGTAAGAATCATTATTTTGGCACCAAGACGGCCCCAGGGTGCCCATGTGGTACCCCTCAGCGTGTTGACCACTCACGTTTCAGCATTCCTGAGGCCTAAGCGCCTTGGGCAATGGCGTACCTGCCTCACGACGCTGCCCCCTCTCTCACGAGGTGGACACGTGATGGGCGAGGGGGGGGGGGGGTCTACAGCCGTTAACCCCCCATACCTCCCTCTCTACACTTGACTTGTACAAAAATTTCCCTGAAATCAACTCCCTCCTGTAATATCATTCACAGACTTGATACAGCGATCAGAATGACATCAATGACTAGCAAATGTCAAATGCAATTTTGTACCTCATCCAGTGCACGAGAGAGCAGGAAAAATCTGTCTCCTGACAACTAATATGAATGTACTTAAGGAATTTCCTGTCTGACTTTCCATCACGGTCAAACATTGTCACATATGGTATATATAGTGTTGTGTCTTCAGACTTCAGCACCTCGGATGAGTGGTGGTGGGAGAGGATGGTGATGCTGGCGTGGATGATGGTGACGCTCGTATTGACAAGGAGCTACTCTGGCAACCTTCTTGCTCTCCTGGCCGTCAAATACATTCCTCAGCCCTACCAGACTCTGGAAGATGTTGTGCGCGACCCGTCAGTCAAAATGATATGGAAAGCTAACACCATATACGAAAACTATTTTCGTGTATGTCATTTCACTCTATCGTATTGTCTTATATGTCAAAATTTTAATACTTTTGTTGTATTTCGAAAAGATTATTACTGTGGGACAGTTTCCATATTTTATTAATAAACCTTAATTTATATTTATTTAATATTAATATGTATTTATAAACCTCTGTTACTACTATATATCAGTTCAGAAAGTCATGATTATGGCATGATTAAGTGCAAACATACTCGATCATTATTATTTTTGTTTTTTCACTTTAAGCAAATATATACAACAATACATTAGATCAACAACTATATGAGAGTCATGGTAATATTCACGGTAAATGTTGTTTTGAGTACTTACCTACACTAATCCTCTTAACCCTCATACCTCATGGAAGACCTCAACGTCTGGCATTTACCGCGAGGTTGGTGATCTGGAGACGAAGGGGCGAGTGGTGCGCAGACCTCACTCGGAGATCATCGCTGCCCTGGACACTCTGGTGAGGCAGGGAGACCATGTCCTCATGGATATTGACGACAACATCATCAGCCTTATGTTCGATGATTTCCTGCGAACAGGTATGCTTCTGTTAGGCAAAAAACAGTCAGGAAAAAACAGTAGGGACAAGAGCAAAATTGATGTAAATTGATATGTAAATTTATAATGAGCAACAGAAGGATGCATTTAATAAATTTAACTTGATCATAGAAAAATGTGGAAAAAATTAAACTTTGCAATAGCAAGTATTTCCCTTGCAATACTAAAGTCTTCAAACTCCGAAATAAGTTATAGACACTAAATGCAGAAACATATTTCATATGCTATAAACCTGTCGTCTGAGGAAGATTTTTTTGTTCAGCTTAAAAAGAGAATGTTGATTACTATTACAAACGAAGAGATTAAAGAAAAAGTCAAAATGTTTCATATATCGACATAAATACAGGGGAAAAAAATATCATTCATACTAGAATGTAAAAACAGCCATGAAAGAAATAGAAAACACGAAATACTTCTGGTGTACCGAAGAATGTAGAGGAATGAGTGAAACCCTATAATAACAATATGAATCATGTGAACAATTCAATTGATACATTGAAAATGAAAGACTAAACGAACATGGTCCATATTTAAAAGCTTATGTCGAATATTACAACAACCCCCACCGTCCTCGGAAAAAAGAATAGACAAGGTGCACACTCATTCTGCTATGTTGCAAGATGCATCGGATTCATTGTTTATAAATAAGTGTACAATAACACTAGCATGTGTACACATTATAATAATCAGAAAAACTTTGAAACATATCACTTCTATTTCCATCTATCAAATGGAAACATATCCAAGTCATCACATATGTGGGAACCGACCTGTGAGATTTATATTTATTTAATTTATATGAAGTTATATGGAATTTATATTTACGTTAATTTATATATTTCGATAGCAATTGGTATGATGTTAAGTGGACTGTATTTCTGCAATAATCTCACAAATCGATCCTTACACATTAGGGGGGGTTTATTATTAAATTTATATATATGCAGCCAATCAAACTACAGTATTAACTACATATATTAGTAAATAAATTGGAGATGCCTTATCTTATTGTACAGCAGGCTTAGTCCACCAGGTATAATTGGGATGTAGACACCAAATTATCCTCGTGTGAGGCTGGCTTCCTACACCCCAAGTAACTGATATACCAAGTCTTGTTTCCTCTTCTTGTTCCTGTCAAAGGGCACTAGCTATAAAACCGGAATCCTAATATATGATAGCTATATTAGAGAAAACACTGTATATTAAATAATAAGGACCAAGGCTTAATTACCTTTATTAAGAGGCTGGTTCGCGTTCTAACTGGTATCTAACTGCCCGTATCTACCTAACATTATCTGGCCAGAAAGGATTATATAATCGGGTTTCGGGAGTATACTTCCCTTAAATGGTGTAGGATTTTCCGATACCATTTAATAATATTACATGCAATATGCAGATAATATTGCTGCTGTTGTATACACAAGTTACCCAAAGAAAATGTAGCTTGTAGTGGAATTTTCTGTCAATAGAAAACGGGATATCATTGCCACATAGTACTATAAATTCACCAGCAATTCTGATGGGTATTATTCTTAAATACATTAGTCTTTGGACTTTAATATCATAAAAACATCTCATTTGAATTAACTTAATTATCAATATCAAAATAGAGTAAATTTGACCCTTCTGTCACTTATTGACATTGGACAAGGAGAGCCAAGGCGTCAGTAGTGAAGGAGTGGTCAGCCATTGTTTGTTAAGACCAGAGGCGCAGGAGAACAAATTCAGTTCCTATAATTTCTCTTGGACGAAGTGTTATGGAGATCAAAGTGTTCTACCATCATCAACATGCTGTCAACATAAACAAGGGAAGTGTCCTACTGAAACATGTTTATCTTATCATTTCTGGCCAGTTAATGTTAGGTAGATATGGGCGAACTGGTTAGAATGCAAACCAGCCTCTTAATAAAGGTAATTAAGCCTTGGTCCTTATTATTTAATATACAGTGTTATCTCAGATATAGCTGTCATATATTAGGATTCCGGCTCTATAGCTAGTGCCCTTTGACAGGAAAAAGAAGAGGAAGCAAGACTTGATATATCAGTTACTTGGGGTGTAGGAAGCTAGCCTCACACGAGGATAATTTGGTGTCTACAATACACACTAATGATTTGAGTGATAAACCAGTGTCAGAGGAAGTACCTTTAGGCTAGCTCCTCGATTATCACCCTAGAATGGTATAGAGATTAATTAATCACTCAAAGGTGTAATGATCATAAGTAAATTATTATATGTACACAACTCAACTTGAGCTGGTAACAATTACACCCAAAATAGGGTCGACCTGGAGCCGGTCGGCCGAGCGGATAGCACACTGGACTTGTGATCCTGTGGTCCTGGGTTCGATCCCAGGCGTCGGCAAGAAACAATGGGCAGAGATTCTTTCACCCTATGCCCCTGTTACCTAGCAGTAAAATAGGTACCTGGGTGTTAGTCAGCTATCATGGGCTGCTTCCTGGGGGTGGAGACCTGGTCGAGGACCGGGCCGCAGGGCTCACTAAAAGCCCCGAAATCATCTCAAGATAAACTCAAGAAGATACACCATTCATTAATGGTGTTAGGTTGTTCTATATAGTACAACTAGACTATGGTAAGAAATGGGACTAGGATGAACAATAAATAGTTCAACTAATCAATGTTAATAGGGGACTAGGTTATCTATGAACACTAGTCAATGTATATCCTACCCTGTTGTTGGTTGGCAATTGGTAAATATTGTATTGTGAACACTAGTGCAATATATATTGAATAATTCTCTATTTTGGAGAAATAATATACACAATTATTGATGATAGCCTCTTAATTAGCCTCTATAAAACTTCTAATATTATCTAGAAGTATTAAATATTATTAGTGACCTCGCAAAATTAACTCCACAAAATTCGTGGATAATCTCTCGTGAAATTAACACCACAAAATCTGTGAATAATCTTGCGAGGACACAGCCACTAATTTGGCTGGCTTCAATATAAGCGCTGTCAGTTCATGGAATAACATGCCACCAAATCGGTGGTTGACCATGAAATCGCTGATGAGGCTGGACTGAGCTGAGGGGCTCATGAGCTTGCTCGAGGCTACGCTGCTGGTCTTTGACTGGCAATATATTGCTCACTAATTTATTACACTAGTTTATTTAATGACAATCTAGCTCTCTAGACCATCTAGGTTCGAAAGACCATATAATCCGGTTCGAAGGACCATATAATGTGGGAACCGACCTGTGACATTTATATTTATTTAATTTATATGAATTTATATGGAATTTATATATACATAATTTTATATATTTCGATAGCAATTGGTATGATGTTAAGTGGACTATTTCTGCAATAATCTCACAAATCGATCCTTACACATTAGGGGGGTTTATATAAAAATGATATATGCAGCCAATCAAACTACAGTATTAACTACATATATTAGTAAATAAATTGGAGGTGCCTTATGTTATTGTACAGCAGGCTTAGTCCACCAGGTATAACTGGGATGTAGTTAGCAAATTATCCTCATGTGAGGCTAGCATCCTACAACCCAAGTAACTGATATACAAAGTCTTGCTTCCTCTTCTTGTTCCTGTCAAAGGGCACTAGCTATAAAGCCGGAATCCTAATATATGACAAATATATCAGAGAAAACACTGTATATTAAATAATAAGGATCAAGGCTCAACTACCTTTATTAAGAGGCTGGTTGGCGTTATAACCGGTCGCCCATTTCTACCTACCATCAACTGGCCAGAAATGATTAGATAAACGGGTTTCGGTAGGACACTTCCCTTGTTTATGTTGACAGCGTGTTGATGATGGTAGAACACTTTGATCTCCATAACACTTCGTCCAAGGGAAATTATAGGAGCTGAATTTGCTCCTCTGCACCTCTGGTCTTAACAAACATTGGCTGATCACTCCTTCACTACTGACGCCTTGGCTCTCCTTGTCCAATGTCAATAAGTGATAGAAGGGTCACATTTACTCTATTTTGATACTGATAATTAAGTTAATTCAATAGAGATGTTTTTATGATATTAAAAGTCCAAAGACTAATGTATTTAAGAATAATTCCCTAAAGAATAGCTGGTGAATTTATGGTACTATGTGGCAATGATATCCCATTTTCTATTGACAGAAAATTCCACTATAAGCTACATATTCTATGGGTAACTTGTGTATACAACAGCAGCAATATTATCTGCATATTGCATGTAATATTATTAAATGGTGACGAGTTTTCCGACAACATATCATGACCTGGATATTATCCAGATCGTAAAAACTCTTGACATCGTTTCACTTTAGAAGGGATGTAGTTAAGCACTGACAAAAATTACTGATTGTTTATGCTGTTATTGCACACTGAAAAGATATTTTAGACAGTGCTAAGATGAGAACTTACCAGTTATTTTGAAAAAAATAAGTTATGCATATAAGATAAATACTGGTTTAGATCATGAAAATCTTGCAATTTCCAGATCACTTTAACAATATTTTTTGAGTCATTAGAAGCAAATCAAAATGTCAGGGATTTATGAACAGATTTTGATAAAGTCCAAAAAAAATACGGTCAATTAAATTTAATGCATTAAATAAAAGGTATTTTTTACACACACACACATATGCCAGGTTGGCTAACATAAGAACGGCCTTTAGAAACTTGTGTAAGGAATCTTTCAGAACATTATATACCACATATGTCACACCAATCCTGGAGTATGCGGCACCAGCATGGAGTCCATATCTAGTCAAGCATAAGACTAAAATGGAAAAGGTTCAAAGGTTTGCCACCAGACTAGTACCCGAGCTGAGAGGTATGAGCTACGAGGAGAGACTACGGGAATTAAACCTCACTTCGTTGGAAGACAGAAGAGTTAGGGGGGACATGATCACCACATTCAAGGTCCTCAAGGGAATTGACAGGGTTGATAAAGACAGGCTGTTTAACACGAGGGACACACGCACTAGGGGACACAGGTGGAAACTGAGT